AATCGGCTCGTTAGGAGATTGAGACGTTCGGATCATTGACAGAGACGACTTTTATGGTTATTTATTTGTCTTTTTTTTCTTTATTTGGACGTAACTAGACTGCCAATACGAGCGAGTCCGGTGGCATGGCGAGACGCCAAGACAGTTTTTTTGAAATATTTTATATAGAGTGCGTTATTATACAGGATGTTCAAAGAAGCGTGCACCAAAACAAGAAAAAAAGTTCGTATAAACGTAGATATGTTACAACGTCATTTATAATGATAAGAGTCTAATTTTGCGTTAACTACATAAAAATTGTGAAGTCCAGTGCCATCCAAGAAGATACCTTAACGAGCACGCCACTGATTTTTGCAATAACAATAAGAATTATTAATTTAATTATGAACATTAATTTTTTGCCCCTTTGATACACACAACATTAAAGTAAGTAATGAAAATAGCCACCATCAGGATTTTACACAAGCCGTTTTTTTCAAATATTGAATAAGAACATAAATTATGTTTTTTTTTATAACCAACCTCCAGCATATTCAACAAACCGAATTTCAATTCCAATACCAATCCAGATTTCAAAAATTCTAACAGCAATGTTGTCAGATTTTCCACTTATATATTAATTGTAATAATTTTGATATTTTTAATGGGATGCCCAAATCAAAAGCTGAAAATTTTTGTTTGTTTGTTTTTCAGTAAAACGGATTTTTGAAAAACAATGTTGTCAGATGCACTGCTTTTACGGTAATCGTCATTTTAAATGGAATGCTGTATTCACTTGCGTTGCAATGAATTCTTAACATCTCAGAATTTTGGAGGCACAGCAAACTTTACTAGCGTATCAGTGAAAAGCTACCAGGATTATAAATATCTGCACGTTCAAAATGGCATGGAATTTTAGATTTGTAGCTTTTGGATATATTTAAGCGTTCCGATGCTTTTCACTGAAAAAGCGGTGTTTGCCATAGTTTTTTAATTAATAATGAGACCATTGCAGCAAAAATAAATAGGATGTTCCATTTGAAATGAGAAAATGATGACGTTTAAGGCGAAAATGGTAAATCTGACAACACTAAGTTAAATACCGAATTATGTCGTTAAAACGGTATATCCTTTGGAGAACCTTAGAACTTTGTATCCCCCTACGCGCGGACAAGATGGCGGGCAAAAACGCGCCCGCTCCGACACCTTTTCCGAAATACCGCTAATTCAAAATCGATTTAATATGGCGCGCCGGCCAAATTCGTTTATCTTTATTTACATCGAATCCATTGACTATTTAATTAACTTATCAATTAATTATACTACTCCAATGGAAATTAATTCGTCGGAAAATGAGGACGCCCCCTCCCTCGCCGCGACCCCCTAACCGGGGGGGGGGGGGGACGCGTTCGGTGTCGAGGATCGAATCAAAACTTTCGGGATTTCGGGTTAAAATCATCGACGTGAGGTTTTTTCTGGCACCCCCTCCGCGCGATCCGCAGATGAGAGGCGAAATTGATAAACAAATTAAAAGCGGCCTCCACCGACGGCCGTGAATTAGCGGAATTTTGGCCGGGGGTTCTTTTTTATTCGCGCTAAATCTGCGCGAATGCGGCATATTTGATTTTGTAAATTATATATATGAATGCCAATTTAATAAATGTGTATTTCGGATTCAATTAATTAAATCGTGCCGGCAGGGAATGTCGGGATAATTTAAAACGATTTTAAAAACGTTCTCCAGCGTTGGTGGTAATAGAATATTCGTGTTTTTACCGATATAAGAAATTTTATTTAAATTAATAAAAGTCGTTCTATCCTTAAAGTGAAATAAGAAAGTATATTTCTTTTAAATCGTATTTACTTTTTCTTTACTTCAATAAACATAAAATATCCAATATAAGTTAAATATATTATAAAATTTTTCAAAAGAAACTTCCACAAGTTACTGCGATATTACTCACAAATTTTCTGGACCTTTCAACTAGCTCGCATTTTGCTCCGGATTCTCTACAATAAAGCCAAATAACAAAAGTATCATCATAACAAAAATGTTTAGATTTTCACGAAATTATATATATACACCGTGTCTTTATCACATTTGATATGTTGTCGAAGTAATTGTCATGTGAATATACAGGGTGCTTCAAAAAAATGTATACACACTTTGAACTTCCATAGAAAATTTATTTACCGTTCTACAAAGTTAAATTTCAGGTAAATAGAAAGCTGAAAGTCCAATGTAAATGAAACATAAATAACAAATGTTAATACTGTTCAAATTGGTGACCTGCATCATCAATACAATTCTGAGTACGAGTCACCACTGATTCTGTACATCGTATCAAAACGTCCAATGAGATTTCTCTACACACTGCTTGAATCTCATTCCAAAGAATGTCTAGGTTACGTGGTTTACGTTTGTACACCTCATCTTTTACTGTGCCCCACAAGAAGAAATGCAGTGGCGTAAGGTCTGGAGAGCGTGCTGGAAACTCGATTGGCCCCCTGCGTCCTATCCACCGGCCCGACAAATTTTGATCCAGGTAAGCTCGTACGTCCCTGTGATAATGCGGCGAAGCACCATCTTGTTGAAAATAAAAATCATCATTAATGCACGAATGGCAGGAAATATGCAATCAGCAAGCATTGCTAGGTAATTAATACCAGTTACAGTGCCTTCAAATCGAAAAGGTCCAAAATGAGTCCCCTTGAAGACAAACCGCACCACACATTTACACCAGGCAAATTTACAGCTTTTTCAATTGTAATGTGAGGATTTTCTTCACCCCAGTAAACACAATTGTGCCTATTGACACTTCCATTAAGTTTGAATTGGGCTTCATCCGACCAAATGATGCTACCTATAAATCCCGGTTCATGTATCACCATCTCCTGAATTCATTCACAAAATTGCAACCTTCGATCTGGATCGTCGTCATTTAGCTGTTGCACCAGCCTTGGAATGTAAACACGATACTTGCCTCTCTTCAGAATGCGTAGCACGCTGCTAGCACTTACATCACTTTCACATGCCCCTTGCCTTGAAGATTTGTTAGGAGAGCGTTGAAACAGTTCCAAGACTGCCGTTGATGACTCATCACTTGTAGCTGTTCGAGGCCGACCTGAATGACCTTTATGCACATCACACACTGTTCCATGAACTTCGAATTTGTCTCGTATGCGTGTAATTGTTAATCTTGAAGGTGGTTCTGTATCATACTCCCTTCTCCACTGTCTTTGAACTTCATTTACATTCTCAAACTTCCAGTACCACTTAATAACCTGCTTACGTTCTTCAAAACTCAAACGTACGTTCCCCATGTTGATATTACAAATTCCAACTGATAATATAACATAGAGGGACGATTATGCTGGCACCTGGCGAAGAAATATAACATTAGCCTTGTAGAGCGGGAAAACTACAATAGTTTAAAGTGTGTATACATTTTTTTGAAGCACCCTATATATAATTTCGTAAAAATCGGAACTTTCAGTTCTTATTTATTTTATCAAATGGATTTTCATCAAGTAAAAGCCACCTCAGTTAAATTTCAGATGAAATACTTTCTTCCCTTAATCTTCTTATTCTCTTATTCTATCTTATTCGATACTAAAATAAAAGTGTAATGGGAATCAATCATTCGAGACAATGTTAATCCCCTTCTTTAGCTCCACGCCCTTCAAATAATATTGAAGCAAGTACAGGGTAGAATGCGAGCAAATTTCAATTAAGCTTTGAAGAAGCCAACGGGATGATTGACGAAACGTCAGCAAGTTTGACTCAGGAGGAATCCAGAAGATGTATAATAGCGTATTATATATAATAAATAAACTAAATATCAAAATCATTAAAATTCTTCTAATTGAAATTAAAATCTAATTAATTTTGTTTCTACCGCAAAATATTCTGTTAATATCACTTTACTTCATTCAAAAACTTCCCAGTATAATCATATTGTTAATGAAATAGGTAATTTAATTTAAATAATAGAATTAAAACAAGAGATTTAAATTCAACAAAAAACAATAAATTATACCAATTAATGTTATTTCTATCGCAAAATATAATGTTGTTGTTAGTATTAAAAACAGTTTTTTTTTCTTAGTTATCTTAGTATTAAAATACGTAATTGAATCACAGTCATAAAACCTCACAAAAAAAATCATAGCATTCTTCGCATTAATTAGATTATAATTTAATTGATAGTTTGCTTAGTATTAAAATTAAAATAAATAATGTAATTTAATATCTCCACTAAAATAAAAGGCAATTTGATAGTATTAAAGTACTAGTTTTCTTAGTACGAAAATATTATTTCACTTCAATCAGAAAAATGCATTATAAGTATTAATTTATAATAAAATTTTTAATTTCATGAACAAAATGTCAAGACATGATTATTACTTTCTCAATAAGGTAAAATGCCACTAAAGGTCAAATTATTTTAGTCGTCTTCAACTCACGATAATTTTAAATATAATCATAATCATTTAAGTAATTAAAGAAAATTCCGAACCAACTTACGTTGGAAAATAAAATAATTTTTAATTTTTTTTTTCGATTTCCAACAACCTCAATTTTTTGTGTTCATCAAGTACCAGCAAACAGAATTCATTCATTCATAAAAAAAAATCAATCACTAACATTTATTTGTTGCCATGGTAAATATTAAAATGTTGTTCTCTTCGGTTTGGTCCACAAAAATTAAAGTAAAACGTATATTTCGACCCATAGAAAAAATATATTGAGACTTGTTCTATTCGAAATCGGCAAATGGCGAATCAAATGCCAAATATTTTTATTTTTAACATAATTTGATATTATTTATTTGTTACATTTATGCCACGTTTTGTTTCCAGAACCGATTTAACAATACAAACAAATATATAAATTGATAGGTGAATCAGGAAAAGCAAATTAAAATTGAATGCATTTTTTTTTAAATCTTAACTTATAAAAGAATGTTACGATAAAAAATAGAAAAATTTAATTACAAAAAAATTTTGATTTATTGCAGGCAGCAGATGGGTCGGGTGGAGCAACGAGACGCGCGGCGGGGAGCCTCTGGAGATCATTCTAGAATTCGACGGGGTCCGAGAATTCAACGCTGCGCATCTCCACACGAATAATATGTTCAGCAGGGCTGTGGAGGTAAGATTCGAATTTTGAAAAGAATAAACCGTACCCCTTTGTCCGAAAAATGCAATATTTTTAGCGACCATTTGAATTTCACTGTAAGAACGCTCGGGCGAATTAAAATTTCACAATGGCCGTCGAAAAACTACCCCCCCCCACCCCCCTACTTTATCTTGCCGCGTCGCTGGCTGCTGCATGTCAAAGGGAATATAGTATCAATAACGCGCCTATGCCGTTAAAAGATTCGCAAAGAACGAACTGGGGACTCATAAATAATATGCAAACCATATTTTTTTGAAATATACTTTGAAATTTGCGTAGTTTGAATGGCCTTGTTCGATTTCTAAGGAATTTGGTATCCGTAATTGTATAGAATTGTTTGATATCAGAGTTTTTAAAGAAGGGGAGGAGACCCCGTATCATCTGCTTACCGAGTGGCCTGCTTTGACATGAACAAGATTTGGAGTCTTCAAAACGGCTCTGATCGATCCGGACTCAGTGCTCGGTATTGGGCTAAAGGAGTTGCTAACCTTCTATAAGAGGGGCGGCATTCTGGACGCCCTCTAGCGCGGTCCGGGGGCACAATGGGCCCGTCTGGTGGCCTAAGTGCTTGGACGCCCGCGGCCCCCTTACCAATACCAGGGGTACCTCTTCCAGCAAAGGAGATATTGCAAATACATTATCCCATTAGGCTATCCAAGTTTCCGAACTCAACTCCCGAACACCATGTAGATAATGTAGGCTTCAGAATTGAAGATGTTTTATACAGAACTTAGCCACTAACATTTTGTTTTTCTTTTGTTATCTTTAAACGCAAAATATTTGCATGCAATCGAATGCCCGGTGCTTTATTCATATTGGTGGACAATATCTAAAATTTTACTTTGAATTTTTCTTTTTTTTTTACTAGCAAGCATGATGACTTTATTGCAATGTAAATTTAGCAAAAGCAAAGTCGAATACAGTGGAATATAGACTTAACACAAAACAAATATTTTAAGACAAAAGATGAAAACACATTCTAAAAAAAAGAAGCTATTTGGTAAGAAAAAGAAAGACCCGGCAAGCTGTAAGAATGAAATATGAAAGAACAGGTCCGTACTTTGCCTAGATTTTAATTATTTGGGGTTGTGTTAGGAAAGATACTAAATAATATTTATTTATTTATGTATGTATTTATGTTTAAATCTAAAACAAAATTACAAATTATTTTTATTACCTACCTAAATTACTTAAAATTATTCACATAATATATCAGTATCACTATCGCTATCATCGCATGTTCTAATTATTATTTGTTCTATATTATTTGCACTATGGATATACGATTGGTCTGATTTTTCTATATGTTTAACAGAATTTGCCCAACTTCGTGGAGGGATGTTAAAAACTTCGGTTTCTATAAGTTTGAGGATATTGGAGTTAACACGGGGAAAAACATTGTTACGACGAATGGCAGATTTCAGTTGGTGCCAAACATGTTTCAATGGGATTAAATATACAGTGGCCTTAAAACTGTATGCCCAAGATTTTTTGCATAATTATCACAGACGTATTCCTTTTTTAGATTCAAGCTTTATAGAACCTCAATTAATTGCTTTTTAGTATAATCCTCGTGAAAATATATGTCATTATTATACATGTAGTCTTGGATTGTTGCTTTTGTGTCACATGGGGAAGGGGTTTTAGTCAACTGTCTACTGTGATAACTTGCATTGCCCATTACAATGACGCTATTAGGAGGAATGTCTGGAACTAGTTTATTTTTAAACAATCAATTCAAATAAATCAGCGGTGGTGTCTTCATGGTAAGCCAGAGAAGAATCTTTAATATTTTTCGCAGACAGAGAAAGTCCATTTGGAATCCAACCATCTTTAGAGCCAGCATGCAAAATAGTTATTCTTTTACCCCTTTTTGATATCGCGTTTGTTTTACACTTATCAGTTGAGTCAACTCAACCCTTTTCCGGGGTAGAGAACTTTATGAAAGTATAGAAATCCAAAAAAAAAGACAAAAAATTAATTACAAAACTGATTCCAAAGGCCTTAACAAAATATGTCATCCGTACCTGCTTTGCATGCCATTCCAATCCGAATAAAATATTCGCCGGGAAATTATGTTTATTTTTAATATATTAACACAACGTCACATGTCCTCAATTGATAGGCTAGACAAAGCACTAAGTTTGAGTCGACAAACCGCGCGTCCTTACTTATACTTCTTAAATGAAATATTTGTTAATATTTCAAATTCATGTACACAGTTCCTTAATATTGGTTACGTTTTTACAATATTTGTTTTCGAAATTGATTAAAGTTCTAATCTTCACACAAAAAATACTACGTAAGGCAAGTAATATTCCTAGACGTTAAAGAGCACTGTTTCTGTGTTCATTTACCTACAAGGCTGTAACAATTTATAACTCCCTACCAGGTCAGATTAAAAAGTTCGCAACGGTATACTTGTTTAATACTGGTCAGACTAGACCTAAAATACAAATGGTTTAAGTTTTTGTTACTTGGTTTGAAAAGTTCACCTTTGTTCTCACTTATTTGGGTCACCCAAAACTTGAATGTGTTTATAAATCTGGTTAAAATTCCAGCTGTCGACGAGTATAAAAACTTGGGTGTTATCTTTGAGTTCGCACACAGGTTTCTAAAATTCTCCAAAAGGCTTATGTTAATCTCTGCAATATCTATAAAAGTAAATATATTCTAAATTTTATGCTAAAAAAAAATCTTGCGAAGCACCACTGATTTTGAGCCATCCGAATTACTGTAATTTTGTCTATGGACCCTGCTTGGATGTCTGGACAAAATATAAATTACAAAAAATACAGAATTCCGGCATTCGATTTTATTTATAACCTTAAACGAAGAGATCACGTCGTAAACTTAGAAAAGAATTACATTTCTGCTTCTCATATACAACTGATAGACTACTTAACTAAAATCCTCAGATTAGCCAATCTTAATAATAATAATTAATTTAATATAATATATATAGGTGACTAAATAGACTATCATTAAAATTATTATTTATTTATTTATTCTTTAAGATGTCCAAATTTCTCGACTCGTGATTCCCGGCACCACGTCCAATGAGAGTCAAATAAACATGGTTTATAACTTCCTTAGTCTCAATAGAATAGTGTTTTCAGCATTTGGGAGGGAGCATCTCCTGAGATACACTAGACTCGCACATATTGTGTGTAATTCGCACACAATTCAACACCCTCTGTATTACACACGAAATAGGAATGATTACTAAACTAAGTAATATACGAAACCAAAGAATATTAAACACAGGTAGGTATAAAATTATTTTCTATTACGGACCACAATTTTACCTGAATTTAAATTCCGAAACTTTAGGTAATAATCTTGTTGCGTTGTATCTTAATGACCACCCTTGGATAATCCCATTCAAAAGCAATTGGTCACTTTCTTATATCTATGAACAGACCATACTATATTAGTATTCATACAGCGAACAATGTTCATTTTGCATGTTCAGCATTTGCCAGTAGCATTTTAATTATGTTATGTTTGTCAAAAAAAAATCCAAAAAGCATATTTCACATAAAAAAAAACTCAAAATTTTGGAGTTAAGTTTAAATACACTATTTCCTATATCGTACTGCTGTGCTTAGTAGTTTTTTGCAAATTTTCCAATTAGTTCCGGCTAGTTAAAAATTCGAACGGCTAAAAGCGCTGCCGTTCGCGTATTTTCCCAATTGTGTTGTCGATCGGCAAAAATGGCCGCTGCGGCTTAAAGCAATATTTGAACGAAATTAACTGAAACGTCAAAATATATACTCGTCGCGGAAAAGCGCGGACTTTGAAATCCACGCGCTACGGGAAAATGAAATTTTTCAATCGATTCCAAATTGAATCGGAAGTCCTTTTGAGTTTTTTTGTTCAATGCTGTCGTTCGATTATTTCTACGAGGATACCGAATTGGATGGTTAATATTTTAAAATTCGGAAAAATATCAAAATTTGAATGGAATGATTTTTTTTTCTTAATCACACGACATGCATTAACGGTGACTATAACAAAAAAATAATTTTAAAAAAACCTTTTCCAAAAAACTTCCAAATTCTGGGTTTTTGAATTTGTTAGTAGAAATTTATCTACTTATGTATTATATCTTTGATCCATCTTGTCTATTCTTCAGTGTCTGTCATCCTGTTCATGTATCTGCTTTACAGATCATTCGCCCATCTTAGTTGAGATCTTCTTCTGTCTCATTAATTTTCCACAGGTCTCCAGGGTCTAATACTTTTCTTTTATCTGTTCATTTTATCTGATGTCTGGGAATCTCAAATCTGTAGTCAGCATGTCTTGAAGAAAGCCCTTTTATCCTGCAATACGTTTTGTTACGTGTGTAGTTCTACACACTGTAAGTTAGTTCAACGAAAAAATTGTTGATCAAGGCAAACCTTGCACTCCACATATTGTTTGAAAGGTATGTGAAGAAGGTTTAAGATATTGGAGTAATGGCACCAGGCGATCTCTGCCTTTTGGAATACCTATGATATGGAGAGAGCCAACAAATCAATGCAATCAATCAATGTTCGGCGATATAAAAAAACTTCAAAAACATGGCCCAGATGTCGCAATGCATGAGAATCCTGCCAATTTGACAGAAGATACCACCAATTTTTCTGAACCTGAAATACTGATGTTGGTGATATATGGAGTGTTTCTCGGCAGTTATTTGCAGAATCAGAAGTTAATGACTCAGTAAGAGACTTAAGTTTACCTAAGGATCTTTCTGAAATTTTAGCATTTAGATTTCGAAAAATTTACCGACACAAGACGTTAAAATCTCATATTTCAGGAAGCGAGAAACAAAAAAAAGTTCATAATAGTTATTATTATATAGAAAAATATTTTGACTCATGCAAATCTTTGTCAGAGTGATTAGATCTTCAATTATATCTTTACTGTAGTTATTAGATTCGAGTAATTTCCTGAGGTATTCCAAAGTTTCTGGTATAGGAACGCTT